GAAATCAAGGCAGGAGCGCAACAGAAACGAGACGTCGGGATCTCGGGTCAAACCCGGCGCCTTCGTGCCACCCGGGGTCAGCGCTGCGCTCAGTGGGCCCCGGGGATCCGGGAGCCTCTCTGGCGTGGATAGTTCAGTGGATCCAAGAGGGAACCAGGCTGCCTCCTGCAAGGCACAGGCCGCGGGATTTCCCGGGCCTCGGGCTTTTCGGGCCCAGCGCGGCTCTGCCAGAAAACCTTTCCGCTTGATTTGAACAGTTCCAGTCGTGAGGGATCCGCTTAAGTTGTTCTAACGCGTGGCCCTTGTGCCGGGTTTGGAGGGGTCCCCTACACAGCCACTGAGCACCCCTGGCTGGCTCAGGTCGGCTCACTGGGGCCCATGGGGCTCTGCCTTCAAAATTGCTAGGTAGACCTTTGGCCTTGCACTGGAGCTGGAGCTTTGGGAGCCTGCGGGGGAGGAGGGGCCCAGCCTGCAGTGTGAGCCAAAATATTGACACAGCCAATGTCTAGCCTTGCACCCAGTGGCCTGTGGATAAGAGTCAGCTGGCTGGTCCAGCTGCAGCTGCATGGCCGCTGTTTCACTGGAGTGCAGATAGATGTTTATCTAGCTCCAGCTCCCAGCCACTGGATCGTCTAACCTTGTCCATGGAACTGAAGAGCCCCCTGCTATTACATTTTGGACCCCTGAGTAAGGTTCTTATAGATCAAGAGGGGCCCACGGGCCGGACACATTCACAAGGGTTAGTCCTTGGTGGGCCACCAAATCCTTCATCACCTGAGCACCCGCATGTATGGACACGCGCAGCTCCCATTGCCCGGGCACAGTGACCAATGGGAGCTGCGAGAAACCGTCTCTGTGGACATGCAGGCAAATAAAGCGTCTGTCAGCCTGCCAGGGCTAACCGGGGCAAACCACGTCTGGCCCGTGGGCTGCTTACTGCCCACCAATTATAGACTGTGATCAAGTCCTCCTTTAGCCTTTGTTAAGCTAAGGGGACCGAGCGCCTGGCATCTCTCACGGAAGGCAGGTTTTCCTATCCTTGAAGTGGGCTCATGGCTCTCAACCGAATCTTCTTTAGTTTACCAACAGCCTTGAATTCTGGGCACCAGCCAAGATGCAGTATTCCAGGAGCAGTCACTCTAATGCCAACAACAGTGGAATCCCTGTTCCAGTTTCCTCTGTTTATACATCCAATGGGGCACATCAGCCCCATTAGTGTTGCACTGGGAGCCCCTGCTCAGTGGATTATCCACCTTTTTCAGACTTACTGCTTCCCAAGATATTGCTTCCCTCCGCCCACAAGCATCCCACATGCTTTGATCCTAAATGTAGACATTGACATTTGGCATTTCTAAATGCACATTGTTTGCTTGTGTCCAGCTTACCAAGTGATCCAGTTTGCTCTGTATCTGTGACCTGTCAAACCTCACTACTTACCACTCCTCCAATCTTTATGAGCTGTAAACTTCAGGGCTACGTCTACACTGGCAGGATTTTCCAAAAATGCTTTTAACGGAAAACTTTTCCATTAAAAGCATTTTCGGAAAAGCACATCTAGATTGGCAGGATGCTTTTCTGCAAAAGCACTTTTTGCGGAAAAGCGTCCATGGCCAATCTAGACACGGTTTTCTGCAAAAAAGCCCCGATCGCCATTTTCGCCATCGGGGCTTTTTTGCGGAAAACAATACTGTGCTGTCTACACTGGCCCTTTTGCACAAAAGTTTTTTGGAGAAATTCTTTTGCCTGAACGGGAGCAGCATAGTATTTCCAGAAAAGCACTGATGATCTTACATGAGATAGTCAGTGCTTTTCCGGAAATTCAAGCGGCCAGTGTAGACAGCTGGCAAATTTTTCCGCAAAAGCAGATGATTTTGCGGAAAAACTTGCCAGTCTAGACACAGCCCAGCTCTGAGGCTCTTGCTTACTGCAAGGTACGTTGCCAAAAAGGATCAATGGCTTAGAGCCAAGACCCGATCCCAGCAGGACTCCAGCAGGACACCCGGGTCGCTAATGATCTGCTGTGTACCGTGACACTGATATGGATTAGACAGTTTTTAATCCATTTAACGGGTGCCCTCAATCAAAGCATCATGCAGGACTAAGCCAACGGCCTTGCACAAGTCTGTTAGTCTTTTCATATGAGATGACAAGATCTATTTCCCACAGACCTAGCTTGATTGTCATTATTAGCTTCCGTTAAGACTTTATTAATAGAGTCCTTTGTCAGCAATTCCATTATTTTCCATAGGATCAATATCAGGCTGACAGACATATAATTATCTGGGTTGTCCCATTTACCCTGTTTAAATATTAGCAGAATATTAGCTCTCCTTCAGTCCTCTGGAACTTCCCGTCTTCCAAGAATTACTGGAGAAAAAAAAAATCAATATTGTTCAGAGAGATCCGTGGCTAATTCTTTTAAAACTGTTGGATGCACATGATGCGGACTCGCTGATTTAAAAAATGTCTCATAAGAACAGCCATACTGAGTCAGACCAAAGGCCCATCCAGCCCAGTACCCTGTCTGCCAACAGTGGCCAATGCCAGATGTCCCAAGGGAGTGAATCGAACAGGTAATGATCAAGCGATCTCTCTCCTGCCATCCATCTCCACCCTCTGACAAACAGAAGCCAGGGACACCATTCCTTACCCATACTGGCTAATAGACATTAATGGACTTAACCTCCATGAATTTATCTGCTTCTCTTTTAAACCCCGTTATAGTCCTAGCCTTCACAACCTCCTCAGGCAAGGAGTTCCACAGATTGACTATGCTCTGTGTGAAGAAGAACTTCCTTTTATTTGTTTTAAACCTGCTGCCCATTAATTTCATTTGGTGGCCCCTAGTTCTTATATTATGGGAATAAGTAAATAACTTTTCCTTATTCACTTTCTCCACACCACTCATGATTTTATAGACCTCTATCATATCCCCCCTTGGTCTCTTTTCCAAGCTGAAAAGTCCTAGTCTCTTTAATCTCTCCTCATATGGGACCTGTTCCAAACCCCTCAGCATTTTAGTTGCCCTTCTCTGAACCTTTTCTAAAACCAGTATAGCTTTTTTGAGATTAGGAGACCACATCTGTAGGCAGTATTTAAGATGTGGGCGTACCATGGATTTATATAAGGGCAATAAAATATTCTCCATCTTATTCTCTATCCCCTTTTAAATGATTCTAACATCCGGTTTGCTTTTTTGACTGCCGCTGTACACTGTGTGGACGTCTTCAGAGAACTAACCACGATGACTCCAAGATCTCTTTCCTGATTAGTGGTAGCCAAATTAGCCCTCATTGTATTGTATATATAGTTGGGATGATGTTTTCCAATGTGCATTACTTTACGTTTATCAACATTAAATTTCATTTGCCATTTTGTTGCCCAATCACTTAGTTTTACTCATTTAAGTAACAGCTGTTAGGCACCTTCATTACTGTTGGAATGGAAAATATTTCATAATTAAGATATACCTACAACATCTAGATTTTTCCTAAAGCACAGAAAAATATGAATTGACTATTTCTGCTTTATTATTGACAGTTCTATTTCTCTCTCATAATGAGAACATCCCATTGTTAGGATTCCTTTTGTTTCTAATATTCTTAAATTCCTTCTTATTGTCTTTAACTTTACTGGCCACCACATTCTCCTTGAATTTTTACTATATATGAGAGAAAGAGAGCAAGCATGTATATAGCGAATAAATAAATTATTTACACCTTCCCATCAAACAAGATCATGGGGTCACCAAATGAAATTAATATGTAGCAGGTTTTAAACCAACAAAACTACTTCTTCACACAATACAGTCAATCTGTGGAACTCCCTGCCAGAGGATTTTGTGAAGTCCAAGAATATAACAGGGTTCAAAAAAGAGCTAGATAAATTCATGGAGGATGAGGCCATCAATGGCCATTAGCGAGGATGGGCAGGTGGCCCTAGCCTCTGACAGAACCTGGGAATAGGTGACAGGGGTGGCATCACTTGAAGATTGCTTGTTCTGTTCATTCCCTCTGAGGCGCCTGGCATTGGTCACTGTAGAAGACAGGACACTGACACGGGGCTAGACGGACCTACCGTCTAATCACGTTTGGCCATTTATATATCTGCGCATTGCTGGTTTTTTAAAACTAGTGTAGCCTTCTTTTTCATTTGTGGCTTTTCATGCATCTAGTAAGACCTTCAGAAACAGTTACTAGTTGTTGGTCATGCTTCTATATTTCATGTTTTTTCTCCCAGCTGATTTGACTCAGTTGTTTCCAGGTTTGTGAAACTAGCCCCTTCAAAAAAAGCAGCAGTTGTGTAAGTTGTTGGTTTTGACTTTACATTTATGATGTGGAAAAAGAATAATCAAGTCACAGTCACTTGTACCTAAGCTACTTTTAGTTCCGTGTTCTATTACTATTGATCTGTTACACTGAGGTCTAATACGGAATTCCCCCCCAGGGATGCAATACTTTGAGTTAAGAAATTGATACCTGTAAAACTTTTAAATTTTCCAAGGATGATTTAATAGACCCCCAGCACAAGCCCTTCATATCGAAGTCCCATATGATAACTCTGTTTCTTGGAAAGAGTTTAAAAAAGGGTAGAATACAAGTAAAAACACAAAGCACGTTCTTTAAAGATTTCACACATTTTTTTACTATAAAATAAGCATCAAAGTTTTTCATTACATAGTACAGATCAAGTAAAGTGAGAAACATTGTATCATGAAAAGATTTTTCACGCTCCCAAAAGTCATCTTTACATGAGTGTAATTCACAGCTGAAAATTACTGGTGCAGATATCACAATCGAATGCACAAGCAGCTCACAAAAGAATTAAACAAAAGTCCAAGTTCTAATGATGTTTTGTTTGTTTTCCAAACTTCCACTTCATTCAGTCTTAGCACATCTGTAACTCTAAACTTCACTCTAAGAAACTGTTTGGGGACTAATAGGAAAGAGGGGAAAATTGTAAAAAATATTGTTAGGTTTTTCACTAATTCTGTCTTTCTATATTGTGTGTTACCCCAAATTATCTTCAACATCCCAAGCTGTGCACCAGCTGCTAGCCTGAAAAAGTGACTGGAATTCCACATGGAAACTTATTGCTTTGGGGAAAATAATTCACACTTCATTCCACATCTTAGCTAACAGCAGCAGGTTACATGATGAAGAAGTTCTAGTCTCATGTAAGAAGGATAAAGGTTGAGTGTGAGGACCTCTATGTGGAAGAGGCACTTGAAATACATGGCAAATATTTACAAAAATGGCTGAAGCCATTGTGGTGCCTTCATATAAAACACAAACAGAACCAAACAAAACCATTTTCTCCCACCATTCTTTCCATGCAACTTACTGTAGTCTGCACCCATCTGTCAACTAAATCTGGAGAAATTACCCCTTGTGGTCCATACTTCATTTTGAAAGTGGTCCTTCCGAGACCCCAGTGGTAAATAGCACAACTATGCATCTGTACAAAAGCAAAACTCTGCAAAGGGGGCAAACACGCATCGTAAAATATCTTCATTAATAAAAAGTGCTGCTAAGCTCCGTTTTGACCAAGCTGTGTGGCCTCCGCCATGTGGTCCATCCCAGTTTGTGGGAATTCACCATCTACAAGGGAAGGATTCCAGAGCCAGGGTGAATAATAGTAATGGTGGTGGCACTAGTTTGTTTCCAAGACACGTTTTTGTCTGCCACTAGACTGTGGCCTTCAAACCAGTCTCAATGCCGTGTGGAGGGTGTGGATGAGGAGAACACAGAAAACAAGAAAAGGGAATGTAGCAATAGTATAAAGCCTCTGGCAGCTTCTCCCAGGAATAATCCATCACAACTGTGCAGTGAGCTTCGACTTTGCCATTCCAGACCCTTGCACCACTTTCAATAATACGTAATTATTCATTTTTATCATTGTATAGCACTTTATACCTTCAGAGCTTTGCACAAGCGAACTGGTCCCCCTGTGCTCAGTGTTCTCAGACATAGGGCACCCTTGTGGTAGTAAGTCAGTGGTGCCATTTGGGGCTTTCTATTCACAATCACATCAAATGGTTACATGGAGTCACACAGGATGTTTTATTAGCTAAACAGCAGGGCAGCTAAAGCCAAAACTAGCCCCACAGCACTATGAAAGAGAAAACGAGTGCAAATTCAGCCAACGGGGGAAAGGAATCCACATGCAGACTCCTACAATTAAATACCATTTTGCTGTACTGTTTACACTGATTCCTATTCCTAGTCTCAACATGTCCCCGTGTCTCCCCCAGAATTATACGAACGGATCGCCCTGAAGTGGGAGACTCCATTCAATATTTTACATAGGCTGGCAGGAAATGCAAAACGTATGCGTTTAGGTATTGTGACTAGAACTGAAATGAAAAAGAGCAAAAGAATTAGGTGTGGATTCCTGAACTCTGTTACCCCAAGTCTTTTAAATGCACATCGCAAGCCTGAAGACAGAGGGGCAGAGATCGGTGTCTGAAGTGCGCTGTTTAGAAAGAGGATTCCCCTCCTGCCCCGTCATTAAAACAGAAGCCTGTGCCAGGGCTGTCTGTAGCATTAATGGGGCCCTACACTGTACTATTAACCTGGTGCCCTGTGCCCAATGGCAGCCTGGGGAGAGGGGGAGACCGGATGATGATTTTTTTTGAGCTGTGATTTTATAATGTTCAGCACCACGCTCATGAAATGTTTTTAAAACAAAATTTAAACCAAGCTTGTCGACTAACACAGTCGGTGCAGGCAGGTTTTAGACCCCACTAGGTTTTACCCATCTCATTTAACCCTCTTCGGAGCAAGTCTCCCGCCCATGGCAGAAATGCCAGCCTGGCTCTAGCGGGGCCACTGTCAACAGCAGCTGCCTTCTGTTGACAAAGGTCAGTTTCTAGGAGCGCAGAAAGCTCCACGGAAGCTATGAATGGCTGGAACTTGCAACCCATTTGGCAAAATCTTAATAATGAGGCAAGGGAAGCTTTTAAATGACTTATGATGGGCTGAGCATGCGGTAGCCTTGGAAAAAGGTTTCTGGCTGGTGTGCCGTGCTTTGCGCTTGTTCAGGCCAGATTCCCATGGGTGGTTTTGTCTGAGTAAGGGTGGGAGGGGGAAGGCTGGTGCCGAAGCAGCTGGACACACAAATGGGAAGAAGGGACAGCGTGTTGCTCCGGGTGAAACTCACCCCTGACGCCCTCGAAACAGTGATGCAAGAGGTGCACCTGCCTTCTACAGGCTTTACAAAGTCTCTGAAAAACCTGCGCCACTATTAAACCCCCTGCCGGAAACAGACAGGAAAGAGTCGTGTGGTCTCTAGCTGAGAGTGATTAACTTACCCACTTCTTAGTGAAAAAGATCAAACACTCTCTGACTACGGCATCAACTGCTTTATACTCTTGGTGCATCAGCTCGTTTGGTTATGGGCTAATGCCAAATTCATAGACTCGCAGAATCACAGGGCTGGAAGAGACCTCAGGAAGTTCACCCTTCTTAAAAAGAGTTTCTGTTTATTTACATGGAAAGGTCAAGAAGGCATGCTGGCTGGAGGGCCAGATCAGCCACATTTCATGGTAAATATTTTGCTTTCACTACATAGTATTTAATACTTCAAGATTCAGGCATTTGTATTAAGTCTTCGTGCCCAAGCGTATGCAGTACCAGATTGGATACATACCTGAGAGTATCCTTGCCCCAGATACTCAGTCACCCCTAGCCTGCAAAGCAGTGGTGCTACCCTCGACTCACATTTCAAATGTATATCTATAAATACGCCAAGAAATGTGTTTGCTATAATCAACGCATGACGTGTTACAGCTGAAGAAGGAGCCTTTCCCAGAGTCTGACATCGCGCAGAGGCTGTGGCTAGAGGAGTGACTACAAAGAAAACAGATTTGTTAATATGTCGTTAGTTGGCCCCTGGGAAGAGCTGGTCTCCTACACAGACCGTTTTAAAGCTGCAGGTTTCCTAGGGTGACTCACTAAATCCTTTTCGGCCCGTACGGGGGAGATTTTCAAAGGCTCAAATGGGCGCGTGTGAAGCCCCATCTCCTACTGAAAGTCAATGGGAACTGGGCACCGAACTGCCCTCTGTGCCTAGGACAAGAACTTGCCCCGTATTTTCTGCCAGGGTGCCAAGAATTGGGAGCCAGGATACTGGCTAACGGTGGGGCTGCGGGGCTAGGACAGGTCCAGGGGGCTAGTGCTTCCCAGCTTACACCCTGTGCTGGCGTTGTTGATGCCTGCACAAAGGGAGCACAAAACGGCTTTCGGCTCTCCAAAACACAGTGGGGCCCCAATACAGCGAGGAGCCGCCTTCGCCCTCCTCCAGCAGCGGCTTCAGCGCCCAGGCTCAGCACGGGCAGAGACTGGGCTGTTGGGGGGGGGGGCTTTCGGCAGAGGGCAGGGGACAGGGGAAGGGTCAGAAATCTGTGCCTTCCGCTTCCTTTTCTGGGGACGCAGCACCAGCCAGGGAAGCGGTTCTACCCACAGCGCCTGCCACTTGAGAGAGAGAGTTTAATTGGCAAAAACAGGACCCATTCACCCTGGGAAGCTGCATGGAGTTTCACGGAGCTGTACCCGGCTCAATGCGCTTAGCACACGGATCCACTCTTGCGCGGAGGAGACCAGCTCTTTCCGTCCAAACTCGGATCTGCTTCAGCAGACAGAAAGCGTCACACTGCAGGGGCTCGTACACAGCGGGAGGGCGACGCTGGCTCGGGCTCGCGGCGACCGCGACACGCGCCGGGGGCAGAATCAAGGCACCTTTGCATTAGGCTGCTGCCCACAGAGCTCCTCGTAAACCCGAAGGCCACAGGAGCCCATGCTGGGTTACACGTCAGAGGTCCGGATGTTCTCGTCATCCAGGTTAAACACAAATGGCTTCTCTTTCAGGTGCTGGGGTTCAGATGTGTGCCGCACACGCCTCTGGCGCACGGCTCCAGTGTCGCACTCGGTGAACGAGGACACAAACACGGAGTCCCTCAGGTACCTGGGCTCTGACCCGGGCGGCTTCCCTTCTGGCTGGGGCACCGGCGTCCAAGGCTGCCAGGAGGAGGTGGAAGCGGTTTTGCTGAGGGGTTTCCTTTCCTCCCCGGGGGGCCTCATTCGGGGCAAGGAGGGGATCGCGGGACCTGGAAGATTGGAGGGCCCAGGCCGGCTCATGGAAATGGATCTCACGAAGGACATTTCCTGCAGAAAAACATGCAGAGCAGAGGGTGAGAGGTGGGGGTTAGAAATTGCTCAGGGCATCCTGGAGGACGAGTCCAGGAATCAAGGCGTTAGTGCTGCCTGTGCGCTAGCCTTTTAGGCAAGGACGCGAGAATTAAGTGAACTAGGCAAATCTGAATTCAACTGGCCTCTGCTGTTGCCGAATCTACTGCCCAGACTTCAGGGAGCATGGCCGGTTTCAGAGCCACGCTGGACTGAATGATTTCCCCTCACTTCTTGGGTTTTCTAAAACTTTTTAAAAACTTTTTTGGAAGCGTGGCAGCCGAATTCACTGCATGGCTATGCAAGCGGCTCAATACATCATACCAGCTTGCAAACAATGGCTCTTTAATGGATGCTAAATGCGAAGAGGAAAGGATGTGACTTACTCTTGGGCGGCTTTTCAGGGCCTGCGCTGCGTCGCTGATTGCTTTGATCCAGCTGTGCATGTCCTCAGGGCTGTCTGCCTGCAAAACAGACCCGCCAAAAATGAGATCCCGGCTTGCGTGTCATGAATCACTCGCAGTTCACCCAGGCCACGCTGGGGGTCCGGCCACTGCCTCTCTGAGTTTGCCAAGCACCACCTAGAGAGCACGGCACGTCTTTTCCTTAGGCCGCGGATCCTGGGACCTTCTAGGTCAGCCCAGATCTGCCTTAGAAATCAAAGCTCCGCTCCTCTCACCAGGACTCCCCCCGGGCCACGAGCACTCCAGAGAACGAGGCAGCATTGCTGTGAGCACCGCCTGCTCCCGCGGGAAGCTAGGGAAACCGCCGCCGTGCGGACGCAGTCGGGGGGCCGGGGATCTGCTGCTACTTCCATTTCAATTCCTCCAGCAGAGGGGGAGGAAGCCCCGCCAAGCGGGCCACAGCTTTAGAAAACAGACCATGGGGAACAATCCTGCAGGGTCCCTGACGGAGGGACAGGACACCCATTGGCTTCTTCCATCTCCGACTGTTGCCGTTCCGCGGCTGTTCTGATCTGGCCCGCACGAGCCTGTCCCTCCAGTCCCATGCTCCTGTGTCAGCCGGGACGTGGGGTTTGTTCAGTCGCTGCACGGCAGGAGGCAGCTCATGTTGTGTTCGGGGAGCAGGGGGAGACCAAGTTCTGAGCCACGACACACGCCCGTACTGACGAAGGCTGAGCTGCTCAGCCGAAGCAGAAGCGGATGAAGTCCAGTGACTTCTGTGCTCGTGTGCTGCAGAACCCGCTCCCCGCCCAGCTCTGTTCCGGGGGACCAAGACTAGGCCTGCTCCGGATTACAGCAGCTCCCTCTGCCTTTCTCCCACTTACACAAACCATCCCCAGAACAAACGCCAGCGCAGCTTTCCCTGTGGCTGCTCAGGCCTTCCGGGTTGCCCAGCTAGGAGCACGATGGGACGTGGAAGGGCATTTTGGCCACTGAGGTGCGCCCAGGAGCCTGACGTGGAAAAGGTAGGTGACGTGAACTGGAGAGGCAGATGCTGGGCCCTGCATCCCCGAGGCTCGTATTTGGGGGAAGGGGGGATTGTGTGCCTGCACCGTAAGCTTCAAGCAGATGATACGGCTCCAGTCTTCACAGCCCGAAGCAACAGCCAGTCTGCAGAGCTAAATGGGGCAGCTTGTTACTCGAGGGTGGAAACTGACTGGCCCAGCTATTGCTAATCGGCGAGGGCTCCCACTGTTCCGGAGAGAAAGGGGTTTGTCTTCCAGAGCCACCGCTGCGTTTCCAAAGCACTTACGTCCAAGTCAGAGCCCTCGCTCCGGACTCAAAGTGACATTTCTCCCGGAAGACAGTGCCCTTTGCGGAAGAGCTCACTGTGCAAGAGCGAGGCCAGTCCGGTCCCCAGCGGCTCGACAGGCCGTTCACCACCGAGCGTTCCAGGGACTCGCACCGGGAGGAAACGTGCGGAGGATGAAGACGGGCAAGCGCTGAGGATGGTTCCCCTCTTGGCCTCCAGACCATTTCATAATCCCCTACCCTCGGGCACTGCGCATGGAGGCTGTCCAGGGAAAACAAGCCGGGGGTGGGGCTTTCCTGCCAGGAGCTGGCTGCCTGTTTGCTTCTCGCCTGGAGCCAAAGACTTTCACCCCTCAAGACGACAGCAGCAAGGGGTCCCCTCGGAACCCGCAGAATATTTTCCTTTTAAAGAGGCCGGTCTCTAGTTGCAGCAGAGCAAACATACACGCTGCCCTACACCCTGACCCCCCCGCACACACACCGCCTCAGCACCCCCACAGGAATGGTCCCTCTATTCTCTTCCATCCCCGTGCGGATTTTTTTCGTGTGTGGAATAAATCTGTACATGCACCAAGGCACATGCGAATGTGCACTACCACAGAAACACTCCCCTGGCTGTGGGTGCTCTGCTGATCAGCTGGGCGGCGTCTGAATCTCTCCCGAGTGGCTGCTCAGGCGGCCAGCGGAGCGGGGCCCAGCTCAGCCTGCAGGGAGAACGACCGAACCTCGGGTCAGTCCCGCACGGGGGCTGACTGGAAGTGCTGGTTTCTGGGAGGGAGTTGCCAGCCTAAGCAGAAAGAGGGCTCAGGCTCGCCTCACACAGAGGCCTCTGGCAGAGATTTCGGGGTGAGGGACATTTGACCTGGGGTAGCAGAGGCCAGGAGAAGCCGGCGGGCGAGTGAGACGCGCCGAGGACCCAGCTCTGGGGGCGTCGATTCACAGGGCCCTCAGCGGCTCCAGGGTGGCAGGGATGTGACTGGGTAACCAGCTAACTGGTTAATGGGAGGGAGAGGTCACGAGCTGGGGGAGGAATGTGTTTTCTTTAAACTGCTGCTCCCTGTGCAGCTGCTCTGGCTGACGGCCTCGTGTGCAAGGAGACCCAGTGCGGCCACCCGACCGCTGCCCGCTCGTTCTCCGCACTCACCCCTGGGGGCACAGCAGGACCACCCAGAGCTGTGCACACCGGGGTCTCTTCATTGCCCTGTGCTCTGTGCGCTGGTGAGCGCCGCTGCTGTGTTTTCTTTAAACTGCTGCTCCCTGTGCAGCTGCTCTGGCTGACGGCCTCGTGTGCAAGGAGACCCAGTGCGGCCACCCGACCGCTGCCCGCTCGTTCTCCGCACTCACCCCTGGGGGCACAGCAGGACCACCCAGAGCTGTGCACACCGGGGTCTCTTCATTGCCCTGTGCTCTGTGCGCTGGTGAGCGCCGCTGCAAAGCCGACGTCTCGTGCTCCCCCTAGCACGCAGCTCCGGGGTAATGGCGCAGTGGAGAATCGGGCTGATCCCACGCGCTCCTTCGGGCTGGCCGCC